TTAATTATAATTTGTATTTTTAATTGTTAAAAATATATGATACTAAAATGATTGCCAACATTATTGCTTTAATCCTTCTTCTAATATAAGTGGTCAACTACTAACGAACAGAGGGTCAATTACTAATTTTTTCATTTTTAAGAATGGTCAACTTCTGAAGCAATTACTGAATTTTTAAATGTTTTTAAAATTTTTATAACATAACTTTTTTAAAAAATTGGTCTTGTTACATCATCTAGAAGGCTTAAAGAGTATCTTCAGGCATCGACTCTCGCTATTTAATGACAGAGCAAGTGGTTACTATTGTTCGCGTGGAGGATTTCTCTTAACTGGTCAACTACTGGTACCTTTACCTTACTGGATGAAACGTTACTGATAATAGAATATCTTACACTGGTTGGTATTAACAGGGAATTCCTGTTTATAAACATTGTAAACGTTATGTTACACAACAATAGATTAGCGAAAATGTGCCGATAGACAGAAATGTAATTAAGGAAATTTAAAACTGCAATAACATTTGAATTAATAGTTCTAAGGCATAAGTACCTTAGTATTTTATTATAGAGAGTGAAAAACTGCATCGACTAGTGATCCAAAAATATGGGGTTCCATTAAAGAAACAAGTGCAACTGCACTTCTTTGATGCATCGATGCGCCGAAATGCATAAATTTAATTCCACAATATGCACCACTTGACATCATTTAAGTTTGTCCTATAGCATTTTTTTCCATCTCTAACCATTTTAAAGATACAGCTGGTCCCAGTTGCGTGGGACACTGTCTATAAGCGATCTTTGTTCGTAAGAAATACTGTATGTAGGTACCAAGGTGGCGAGTACAGCTGCAAATGCCCCAAAAGCGAAAAACTTTCTTTGCATTAAAGAAAACTAAAACATTTCCCGAGCATTCTGAGCAAATCAAAATTTTGTTGGATAAGCCTATGTGCACCAAAACTAAATTCAAACATAAGTTTTTCGCATGCCATGCAATGCAAATAAAAAGCGAATAAATATGCCATAATTTTTAAAGCACTCTTCTGTAAAATCGAGTTTTTCGTCTTTATGCATTTTTTATGTAGCTTCGAAAGCTACTGGAGCGATTTTGATAATTTCCTTTTAAGTATTGTCAGAAACGAATCAATTACAATTTAATCGTTTGATTTAGCGAAATATGTATGTACAATAAATTTAATTATGAGTGTTTAAAGACGTAAAAAATACAAAGTTTACTAAAACCAGTATTAAAACTGAAATGGGCATTTTTGAAAAAATTACTAAAATTGCTCCCCAATTGCTTGCACAGGAGACTGCTTTAATTATTATGACATACATATTTCCTCCCACTTCGTTTGTATCATATCACGCGCGAGATATGTTTAAATTTATTTTTGATACATACAGGCTTCTCCAAAAAAAATTCTGATTTGCACAAAAATGTCCGGCAAATGTTCTAGTTTTTGTCTTTAGTACAAGAAAATGTTTTTTGCTTCTTGGGCATTTGCAACTATGCATTACTCGCCCCCTTAAAGGGCTATCGTACTTTATCGAGTATTCTCTATCTAACAGTAAGCTCATCATAAATAAGTGGTAGCGAATGAAGTACACAAGAAAATATGGAAGAACAGGCAGAAATAAGAAATGACGTAAAAAGGTTATAGAAAGAAAAAGTAAGTAAAAGAAGGATAAAATATCATTTCGAAATAGATGAATGTAATATTGAATGTGAGAATAATCCATAAATAAGAATAATCATGGTACAATGATTTTTCGTATTATTAGTTAATAGTCGAAAATGTACAATTAATGTGAATACAATTTTCAAAAGGAGTAACCTTGCAAACACGACAAATGGGTGAGTATTTTAGATAATAGATTTGAGAGTGTTACTTACGTAGCTAGGTTTCCTGACGTCGTAGCCGCACTGTTTATTTTTAATAATTTCCTGAAAGCATCAAACGAAATGATTGAAATACAACTTCAGGTGGTATTTTGAATTATAAAATGTGAAATAAAGAAATTACGTTCGGTTTCCGTTTACAACAGCTAAAAGGCACGCCGCATGCTTCCCTGGAGCCAATGTCGCTCGACGAACAATTGAAATAATTATTTCGATCCCAGTCTTTAGGACCCTCGATACCGCAACACTGTAACTGTGAAATCCACGAAAATTATTGAGTTTTTTTCTTCAATAAAGCAAAGATGAGTAAACACGATTTTCGAAAGAAACGTGTAACACATTCGGTATACTGATTTATCGTTATACTATAATATATCCAAGGTATAAGCAATTCCATTCTTATTTCAGACAATTTGGATATAATAAATTTCAAATTCCAATTTATAGAAGACATAAATGTGATTTTAACACTTTACCGACCGGTAGCCTATTAATCGGCTTTCTGCCGCCAACGCTTACCGACCGGTAGCCTATTAATCGCTTTTTTGCCGCCAACGCTTACCGACCGATGACCTATTAATCGGTCAAAGTTTGATTTAACATTTCTATAGGTATAAGAAAAAGCGCATATATTCCCGCGCGATAGCCTAAAGTTTAAACAGAGCCGGTGTCGGCAATGTATCTGTGGCCGAGTGAGCGGTCGGAACTGCGTAGGATGTTCAATCGCTACCGGTCGGTAAAGTGTTCAGAAAGAGGAAGAGGGAAAAGAAAAGAAAAAAAAAACAAGGGAGTTCTTAAAAATGATTCGTAAAATTTAATAGGGACAGATAACAGTTGTGCGTCCACTTTTCATCCAGTAATACTTAAGCATTTTCATTGCTATACAGGGTGTCTCAGCTAAGAACACCTAAATATCTCCTGCATTTTTAACGATATCAGAAATGTTTCAAACACAGTTTGAATGGTTTCAAAAGAAGAGTATCATAAGTAGAACATTTTTTCCGAAATTTTTTAAGGTCACCGGTATTTTTTTACTGGGAAGCACATACTGTTTTCTATTGCTGTCAAAATGCATTCAAATATGTCTAACTCGTGGTCTTGAGGTGACTTTGGACACTGAAAAAATAATGAAGTTCTGAGACAATGTTAGGGTGGAATGCGAACTTACTTTTTATGTTACAAATGCCTAAAGTGATGTTCATCATTATCCCAGACTGTTCATCACTTTGAACATTTGTAAGATAAAACATAAATTTGCATACCACCCTAACACTGTCTCAGTATTTCATTATTTTTTCAATGTTTAAAGTCACTTTAAGGTCTCTGAAGATCGTAAAATAAGTATTATTATTAATTGTAGAACACTTATCCGATAAGATGTGTATTACCATTGATGAAATTTTCAGCATGTACATAATTGGCATAAATCTACAAAACGTATGTTTTGAATTTTCACAACAAGCTCAGATAAAAAAGTTGTAAACAGTGGCCTTTGCAATTTTCTTTGCGATTCGCACAAATTGCAATTTTGTCAATATTTGTTGTACATGTCATCTAGCAAACCGATCTTTCTAACTTCTCACAGAAAGCTCAAGTTGTTTAGTCCAATTTTTCAAAAATTAAACTGTTCTAAAGAGTGGTCGGATATTAAGGAACGTAACTGTACGTATACACATCCTAAATTCAAATTTATGAATTTTTTATGAATTGAGAATTCGTGAGAATTACAATTATGCAAACAAAAGTAGACTGCTGTATTACTGATTTGTTGGCTAGCTAGTGACTGTCTGCAACTGTTAAATTTTACGAAAAAACATTGAAATATTTAATATTTACTGTGATGTAAGTGATTGTCATTTATGAATCGAGGAAACAAGTGACAGAATGTGCGAATTAGTAATTGAGTGACATTCGCCGGACTTCCTCAAGCAGACCATTTCATTCTAGTTATGATACGATTTAGAGAATATATCGTAAATACATTGTTCCGTCGCGCAGGTACGGAACGCATGGGGTCTTCGTTGACCGGGTTTATGGCACGCTCGCACGAGAAGGTTATTTTTGAGAACAAAGACGCTTCGTAGCTCCGCGAAAAAATAAGTAATTTCTTACAGAACAATGCCTTTAGAATTTCGACTTTTCCGCGTCCTCGATAACCGAAGACGTGTCATAAACCAGGTATTACTGAAGGGTCAATCCACACGCGCGTATAATGGCACTCTCGGCCGAGGGTTGACCTGGCGGGAATTTCCGGCGCGTCACCGAAGGACAGCGAAGATTCCACGCACCCGCAGGTAGGGCCCCACTCCTTCCAAGGAAAAGCGCGCTAAGGGCGCGATGGAAGGGTGGGTGACACTCAAGGGGCACGTTGATTGGTAATTTGTGCGTACGTGAAAAACCAATCAGCGTGCCTTTTTGCACTTGGCGGGGGAGTCACGGCGGACTCCAGAAAAATTCGGAAATCGAGAGAGAGATTCAGAAAAGGTTCCATCGAGCGAACACCACGAGATCTCCAACCGTTCGAGGAGACACAACACATTCGAAAGATTCTCTCGTGTGAACAAGATACTCTCTCCAGCCGTTCAAGTACAATTCGAGTCTTTGAAACAAAGTCGTCAATCGTTCGTGACGCACTCTACGTTTTGCTAACGTTCGAGCAAAGTAGATTTTGAACTAGTTACCCAAGATTAATTTGGCGGGTAGCAGTCGCGACCGCGAGCTTCCTGTTGAACATCGCAAAAGATCGCGACGCGACATACATCTTACTATAATTTAACATATTATATGTTTAAAAATACCCTGAACTTATTATCCTTAGTTTCCTAAAAAGGGAAGCTAGATTCCAAGATAATACTTTTCAGTTTCAGAATTGAAATCTATAGATAATGAAAACAAAAGCATGTTACACGAACCAATCAAATAGATCATATTTGCGAATGTTTGTTATCTATGCAAAAATATTTAAAATGTTTATATGCAAACATCTTACATCCTTAAGTGTATAAAATTGACCGAAGACGTTAAAAAATAACATTCGCAATTAATGTCCATCTCACATTTAAATACAATATAGCAGAACAATTTGTTTCATTGTCATAAGTAATAATATCATACGTACCCAATCTTCTTGAATCCAATCGATGAGATTCTGCTGATCGGGATCTTCTCTATAGTGAATAATGAACGCTTGAAAACCGCCAGTGGCTTGTGACTTTATCTGTGTTGAATCGAAATATTAATTTACAAGTTGAATTATTAACCTTCTCGCTACTGCATAGTTTAGACATAGGGACAATATTCTTACGAGGAAAACCTACGAGCTGTGGACCGAGTTTTTTAATTAAATGTCTTTCAGTTGCAGGGTAAGGAACTTGAAACAACCTCAGAAAACAGTGAGAGCTAACTCTCCTCCATTTTTGAGAAAGAAGTTGTTAAAAATGCGAAAATTTAGGTCAACAGTATCAACCATGCAAGTTGAATTATTGTTATCAAGGTTCATTTAGGTTACGTTAAGTATTTTGATTTGACTGCAGCTCGAGTTCCATGCTAACGCTTTTTTTTTTATTTTTTCATTAAAAAATTTGTTTGTACATATTGCTGCTCCTGTAAAATCTTATGCAGTACTATAATACCTTTTATATTGGAAACGAATAGAAAGTGGAAAAAATTAATAACAAAATTATATGCAATTTTTTCATTTCTATTGAAACACCCGAAACACTAACAGATGGTATTCTATTGTACATAAAATTGCAAGAACATATATTGTAACTGTTTGCCATTTTTTCAGGTTCTTTTAGGTGCCCTCTCCTACACCTGAACAGATATAATTGAAAAATTCTCAGATTACAGTTCGTAGGCTCCCCTCTTTAGAATAATTAAAAGAAATTTCATTTCAAGTAAACATGATATCTACGTTATCATATTGCAAACTGTCTTGAGTTCTTGCTATTCAAGTATTTACCTCGGCACAGACGATTAGTTATTTTCGTATCCAGAGCTCAATTTCTATCGACAATTTCAGTAGCGAAAGGGTTAAAAACGTGCAATAATATACAATATATGTATCAGGTCATCCTATAAGTAGGGCAGATTTTCCAACAGGGATGTAATAAAATAATCAAATTTACAAATTCTGGGTAAGATGACCATTTAGTATATACCTATCACCATGGAAATTTTGATGTCCTTCTCTAGTATTGTTTGAAAATTTCGGCATCTACAAAGTCGTATAATGGATCTTAGTAAAGAACGTATTCACCGCTGTATGCTTTTCCGGGTAAGTTTAACATGTGGTACTTGTTATTTAAGCCCTAACTCACACGGCTCGCATGAGCATCCATCAAGAAAACGCACTATGACCGCGACCACCGAACACAGATGGCCTATCAGTGCAATGAGTAATTATGAGGACCCTCGCCACATTACTAGTTAAACGGACTGACTTTACAAACCCAATGAACCAGTGCTCGGAGGGAGACCGGGAAAAGAATATTCGTCCATACGGCTCCGGTAATCGATGGGCAGTTGTGAGCGTTTTCCATCAGCAATACGGGCAACTGGTCACTCACTGTACTTAGTGGAAGAGTCAAAGTTAACTCGGTACCGGTTCTTTCATAACAGTATATTTAGAAAGGTGGTAAAAACAGAAACAAGGTAGATGCTGATCTATACTGATCTAATCACGCCGATCATAATCTATCCGAGGGTTCACGTCTTTCGCTCGGCACTTGTGACTTAAGATTTGAGGCGCTTCCATAAGACGCGTATAGTCGGTGGAAGAAATGTAGCGAGGTCATGAATTAAAACATTAAGTAGTGGCACCGATTGATACAGTAACACCCAAGATTGAATGTAGCATTTTTCGTTTTTCGATTAGGACCAGAGGTGTCGAACTTCTTCCCCTCCGAGAGCCCCAAAAGTCTGGCTCTCAGTTAGCTGGTTCCCCCACTTCTTTTCCACCAGGAGTTGCACGAGTCCCATTATGTATTTATGGCCCGGATAATGTCAGCTACAAACAATGGACTTATATATATATATACACTCCCGTCCATAAGTCATAGGACACCATCTTACCGTTTTACAATAAATCAAGTTTAGATGAAAGATTTAGTTTCTTATTTCAAATAATAATTATATTTAAGGAATATATTTTCATTGATATGACTGGTATTTTATTATAATTAATACAAAAAAAAAACTGAAATATTTATGAGGTACAACACCAGAAATTGTGGGATGAACTAGACAGAAGTATTCGAAAACACAGTCTAACATTACAAAAACATTTGTGGACACACTTGCAGCGGTCCTAGAGATAAATCCAGGAAGAAACTTAAAAAAAAACCTTAAAAAAGTTATTTCGAGCCTTTATCGCGAAACGAGGAACGTACATTGACGAGAAAATTGAAAATTTTGTATGTACAATTTTCGATATATTTTAACATTGAAAAACTATTTTCGATGCAAGTAATCTGTAAATAATCATTTGATTTAATAACGCGGGTGTTTAACAGTGTTAATTTAAACGTAAAGCTCAAACTAGTAGGTATCCCATGACTTATGGACGGGGGTGTATATGTATACAGGGTGTCCCGTAAAGAGTGTAACACCCGGAAATGGGGGATTGCTGGGGTGACTCTGAACAACTTTTTCCTTTTCCAAAATGTAGTTTGAAGCTTCGTTTTCGAGTTATTAACGAAAAACACTGGCCAATCACAGCGCCCGTAGAGCCAGCGCTCAGGGACGGCCGAACAGAGATTCACCCACGCGCTATCGTGAACAAGCGTACGCGACCTTCGCTATTTTCTTCGCGATTCCGACTAATTGCAGTTTTTTCAAAAATTTATACAAACGTCGGAATGACGGCAAAAAACTATTTCTCTAAGCCTTATAAAAATAGCGATGCAAAGTCACGCGTCGTTCACGATAGCGCACGGATGAATCTCTTTTCGCCCGTCCCTGAGCGCGGGCTCTACGCGCGCTCTGATTGACCAGTGGTTTTCGTTAATAATTCAAAAATGAAGCTTCAAACAACATTTTGGTAAAGGAAAAAGTTGTTCAGAGTCACCTCAAGAACCCCCCATTTCCAGGTGTTCGAGGAGTTACGGGACACCCTGTATAGGGGGAGTTCCCTTAACGCCGGAAGGCACCTAATATCGGACATTATATCTGCATTAATTGAAACGCTACCGAACTGTTATTCTGCGTATCTCCTAGAGGAGACAAAAGGAATAAAAATAGTTTTCTACGCGTTTCAGTCGCGCATGCACAGGTAGATTTATTTAAGAAAAACCTTAAGCGTCCGGTGCTAGAGGAACTCCCCCTACAGTAGTAGTGACTAGCTTGCTAATGGCGGGGCTCGTGCGGACCCGCAGGAGAAGTTCATTACAGTGAATTAGGTATGGAGGGAGCTGTTCTCTTACGGCTCTGCGGAGCAGGCGACGAGGAGAAGGAGCCGCATGTGGCTCGCGAGCCGCCAGGTCGACACCCCTGGACTAGGATTAAATCAAAGCTAAGGCTTCATGCAGCCTTGACTGAGATTTCGGGTCCTTGTCTGCTCAGCTCTCTGTAGATTCGCTTGTTGATATGCTTGAAGATGTAAACTTTTACGCCTGACCGATTTTACAACCTCGCTATATTTCTTCCATCAACTATATGGCCCTGCGTACGGCTAGATCAATGGGTGTTTTCGCTTAACGTGGTGATTTACGACCTCACTATAGCTGTTCCATCAAGTATACCGTCTTCATCATCGGTGGGATGTTTCGTAGAACCCAACACTACTGCCAAATGGAAGGACTCACACTTTCGATTTTGATTCACCAGCGCCTTCGACACTTGGGCAAGCTACACCCTAAAAGTCCCTAGTATGGAACAGATAGCCGCATGGACGCACGGAAGACTTTACACCCGAAGGGACCACTTAACAGTTTGTAGTATACACGAGATTTATGAAGAGCGTGTAATTAATGCAAGCCAAGTGTATCGATGATTGGAAAAGTTTCAAAATGGAATTTATACTTTCGAGGATGAGCTTCAATCTAGGGAACTCAGATAAGGACACATCAAGAGCTGCTGTTGAATAAAATTCAATTGCCACAGTTGAAGAACTGTCTAAAAAACTTAATCGCTGTACCATTTGATCGATACTTAACAAATATTCGAAGTGTGTGTAAGTAGAAAAAATTTAGCGAAGAGTTAGTGTACACTTCTCTTTAGTCTCGTTTAAAATGTGAGCCATTTTCAAAGTAGATCGTAACAAGAAAAAATGGATATTGTGCGACAGTATTAACCCCTTGCCTTCTAACAAAAAATCAGACTCGTGGCACAGATTTTATTCAGGGTATGACAAAACCAGTTATATTAGCAACTAAGTTTAATCTTACTTCTAACTTTGATTTTAATTTGCAAGACTGATGATTATCAAATGTAACTCTATGTGTTTACAGGGTGTCCCGTAACTCCTCGAACACTCGGAAACGGGGGGTTGCTGGGGTGAGTCTGAACAACTTTTTCCTTGACCAAAATGTAGTTTGAAGCTTCGTTTTCGAGTTATTAACGAAAAACACTGGCCAATCACAGCGCCCGTAGAGCCAGCGCTCAGGGACGGGCGAACAGAGATTCACTCGCACGCTATCGTGAACAACCGTACGCGTGACTTCTCGGTTATCGATCGCTGTCAAAAACATTTGACTTTGCACCGCTATTTTTATAAGGCTTAGAGAAATGTTTTTTTGTCGTCACTCCGACGTTTGTATAAATTTTTGAAAAAAACTGCAATTAGTCGGAATCGCGAAGAAAGTAGCGAAGGTCGCGTACGCTTGTTCACGATAGCGCGCGGGTGAATCTCTGTTCGGCCGTCCCTGAGCGCGAGCTCGGCACGCGTTCCGATTGGCCAGTGTTTTTCGTTAATAACTCGAAAACGAAGCTTCAAACAACATTTTGGTCAAGGAAAAAGTTGTTCAGGGTCACCCCAGCAATCCCCCATTTCCGGGTGTTACACTCTTTACGGGACACCCTGTATAGGGTGGGGAACGTAAATGAGTATGCCTACATATCTCCACTGTTTATGCAGGGTGTCTGTTATAACTGGACACGGTGGAATATCTCATAAGGAACTGAAGGTATGAAAAAAAAAATGTTCTCACCAATGTTGCTTGGTATGGAGGGGGACATAGTACGGTATAGTTTTTTTTTTTTTTTTTTTTGCAGTGATGCAGTGTGGGAAAATTTCAATGTCAAATTAATTTCTTTAAATGGGAACGTTATATTTTTGTATTCACAATATATCATTTGTTGAGACGAATTCAGGAATCGCTACAAAGAATGAAAATAGCTTACCCACGGGGAGGTATTTAAAAAAGTTCACGACCTAAAAAGGGAAACCCCAAACGCAATTTTGTTATTCTTGATTTTCCTCTTATTCTGGCTTACAGAATCACCCCTTCAATTTTCTACTAACTGTTGTCGAACACCCTGTATATACATATAGAGAAGATGAATCAATTTCAATACGTTATTGTTTGATTTTCAAATTATCACAAGTGCTTATGTTCTAGATATAATAAGCCTAATCCTACGTATGTAGCCTTGGCAACGACGGGTAGTTTAAGCTAGTAATGTATAATACACTAGCTTTTCTTACCTGACACTGTATTCAAACAGTAAATAGCTGACACTTACATGCATAGCCTGTAAAAAAAAAATCATAAGTCAAGGGATTAAGCGTAACAAAACAGTGGTTAAATCTAAGAGAACTCTGTACATCACAGGCTAAACAAAATTTGCAGCTAAAGGTTTCGCTGAATATTTCGTGGGATTTGCAAGGATAATACACTTTAAATAGAAGCTAGATTACACCGAACAGGATGATTATTGCAGAATTGTATCGTGAACAATTGGATCGATTGAAGTCAGCAGTAGAAACAAAAATGGCCACGTTTACGACGATTACATTTAGTAAAAAGGACCTTGCAGAAACTGGAGGAATTTGGATGGAAATGGATGATTCTAATGCAGCAACAGATTATCGCCTGTTTAGGACTATGTAGCAGTATTTAATTTAAAAAAAAAGACGATAGCGTCGGCAACTACTTGCACTAATTGTAAGTAATGTCGTCACCATATCAAATAACCTTTGTAAGAATAATTTCTTTATATCTTCAATTTCCTGCAAGATGTTCCACCGTTTCTGATTAAAATAGACACCCTGCATATAATTTATCGTGTAAGTAAGTCACAGTTCCCCAAAAAATCTGTCTTCCGGATGTTCGACAAACACCAAGTCAATGTGAAAACATATTCTTTGTTTACGTATATAAAGATTTTACAGTCCCTAAACACCCTTTTCCTTCTTAGCCCTTCCAGATGTAACGGTGAGACTGATAATGAGCTTCAGACGATGCTCATCGAGAGGTGTTTGTCAATACCCTGCACGCCTTTTAACAAAAGCTGTTTCATACGAACTGTATCGCCAGTACTTTAATAAAATATCCCTTCAAGGTATTCTTTCGGTCTTTTCATAGAAGGAAGTACTTACAACGCATTTCCGTAATATCACAACACAATATGCAGGTATCGGTACAACACGTAATGTACAAGTTTTACCTTTTAAATAGTTAAAGGCAGAAAAACTGTTATACGGTAAAATTGAATGGTATTCAACACTGCGTATTTTCACATATTGAAAAATGCATTGGCACTCCTGTTTTAAGAGGGGATATACACCTATATATGCCAAAAAAATTGATTTCTTATATATTTTCCATGTTCCATATGTCCAGAATATTTTCCCAAAATTTGGAACGAAAATTCGCAGAAATATTGAAGATACAGTACGTTCACGTGTTGCCAAACAAAAGAACGTGTTACAAAGGCGAAAACAGAAAAAAAAAAATTGAACGAATGTAATCATTCTACTCCGTTACCAGTTACTGTCATTAATGCAATTCGTCCAATTTACAAAAACTTGAGTGAAGAAGGATTGTTATAACGATGTGTTGTTTGCTTCAACCAAAATAACAACGGGAGCATGAATAACTCCTAAATTAATGTACAGCAGCACTCTGACAGCTGAAATTGCAGCTTACATTGCTGCCTGCATTTTTAACGAAGGCACAATGCTCGCAGATATGTGTCTACAGAGGATGAGCATGGTATATCTAAAGCCGAGTTCCGAATGCAAAATGTGACAAAAGAAGCAATAACATCAGGCAGATTGGATAAACTGTTAGTCAGAGAGGTTGCTTCAAGTTGCAAGGATTTATTTTATAGGGCTGGAATCGATGATTCGTGATAAGATAGAAAGTTGATTGTTTGTGATTGTTGAAACCTTTTCTCAAACTTCAAATGCATTTTTCTCAAAACTAGGTTTTCAAAAACGGTGCCCACGATAACTCAAAAACTACAGTAAATTCTCCACTAGTATCAGTCCGCAAGAAACCTAAACCTGACACTTGTAGAGTCAGGGACTACGTTTTCGAGCCTCGCGCCTGCCTTTGTAATTTGCCGAACGTAGACAAGGACAGCGAATAAAAAATAAGGATGAAACGTAAGTCGAGGCAACCAAGCG